GTGCTGTCTCAGGAGCTCAGCCACCATATCGTGATACCTACTGGGTTGAGGAGAAGAACAGGCGTGAATCAGGGTATGGACAAGAAGGATCTTCTGCCATATTCTCCATCAGCCCCTCATGTAACCCTAAGGTGTGAGTTCAGTAACCACACCGCATTTTTATCCTTACTGACTTATTTTCACCAGGGCAGCTATCCCCAGCTCTGCCAGCCCATGGGATGCTCCTACTTATGAAAGTGTTGGCCAAGACTTTCACAAGTGGCTGGTGGTTTCCAGTACGTTGGTGCATGAGCGTTCAACTGAAGACGTTTCGAAGGGCCCTGATTTTCACAGACTGGATGTCTTGCTTCTGCAAAGTTTTGGCATTTAGTCTGAACTGAAGTTAACACATGTCCTAGAGTGTCTTACTGCTGTTGATGCAACGCAGCTGACGGATACAATGGCCAGCGGACTTCAAGGATTGTCAGACAGACTCCTATGGCGGTTCCCCTTGTCCAAAAATAACCAGAATCGGCAACTTCAAAGAAAGGTCCAGTAAGCTGTGACATGGGCAACTATGGCAAAAAACTATGGATCTTGCTCAGTGATATGCATCAGTCCTCAGTGGTGGAGAATTACTCTGACCATCTGTTGCCAGAACAGTCGGTGTGGGACACCTGTTTAGCTTTTAGGCACCCACGTCTTTTATTGGGTCTGGCTCGAGGCGCCAACGGGGTTTGAGTACTTACTGCTCCTTGGAAAACCCCAATCTATATGCAAAGGATATTTAGAGCGCTTGCTTTTCTCAGCCTTGTTTTGTTCAGCGGAAGTCTTTTCTCATATAATGCATCATATAGGGGGCCCTTTAAATAGCTAAGAATTGTCTTAATGGTTTTCCCATGGGGAAAAGAGTGGGTTAAAATCACAGGAAGAAAAGGTTTGCCAGCTCAGAAATAGCTTTGCCACCCCCCAGCTCCCCCAAAAGAGACTGCAGGAGATTCTCCACGCCTTGAATGCTGAGAGGTTCACTCATCTCTCTCAGTTACAACCCACACGGCATAGATGAGTGGAAGCACGGAGGTGGAAGATTTATCTCTGTCTGTAACACTGCTGTTTGTTTAAAAGAGGTCGGAGGAATCTTGGCAGCTAGTGGACAATTGCTGTAACTCTTTATTTCCCACTCGGATACGAATTGATCTCGGCAGTCTCTGTGGGTAACCGTCGAAGGAAAATAATACCGTGCTAGTCGTGCTCTGCACGCCCCCACGGCACTGAGCGATGCTGCAATGTTAACAAACACTAATTTATCAACCCGTCAAATTCATATCATTCCAAATCCCAAAGTCGATAATCAGGTAACCTCCCGCACGAAGATTGTCGCTTGCAGGAGAGGCGATGCCACTCTGCCGGCATCTCAGATGTAAGCAGGAAAAATGCCAAGATTGAAAAAAAGGAACCAGCAGAGAACTGGACCAGTTCTCTTTAGTCTTTTGCCAGTGACATATTTTGGGACATCAGCTCTGCCTTAAATGCATTTCCATACCTTTGTTTAGAGCCTTTGAATCTAGCCACGACCATCTTAAACATTTGGATCGCCTTTTATTTTTTTTCTGTAAAAAAACAAACCAATAAACAGACCCCCAGATCCCAGAATTTAATTAAGAGACTCCATGGCATGATTTATACAGATTATTGTGTAGTCTGAGAGCCTCAAGGCTTGAAATACAACATTTGGAACCAACTGTGGTTCCTGGCGGCTGCTTTCCTCCAGGGAAGAGAAGGTGTAAAGCAATGCAGAATTTGGCAAATGCTTCTCAGTCTCTGTATTACAGTGCTGGGAAAGGCTATCTTTTATTCCAGCCCCATGCTAAGAAATGTATCCTTCTCAGACCTTCTCCCCAGGTGGGCAAAGCCTTGTCTGGGATGATGGAGTTGGGGCTGGTCCTGCTTGGAGCAGGGGGTTGGATTAGATGTGACCTCCTGAGGTCCCTTCAACCCTCATTTTTTATTTTTCTAAATGCCTAAACGTTTCTGTTTAAAGGTGCAAATATTACAATATTTAATGTTTCCATTGAGGCATCATACATTGCATTTGGTTCTCCGTTTTAAAAGTGGGGAGGGGACGAAACCTATGTTTGAAGGTGTGTACGAGTCAATATGAACTCTTTTAGCCCAAAGTTGAGGTTTGAAACGCCAACACGGTTAAAGTTTAAAATCTGGTAACCATGCTCAATTAATGCAACCACAAAGTAGGGAAGGGGAAAACGGCCTTCCCCCATTCCTGCACAGGGTTTTTGTAATCTCACCTGCCTTCAAAAATGGCAGGCCTAAACTCCTGTCCATGTTGTCTGTCTTGGGCCCCATCTTTTTTTAATCATTTTTTCTCAGCCAGTGGCCAGCACAGCCGCTTTGGGCAGGAGTTCACAGGCTGAAGCATTTTAGGAACCAAGCTACAGACAGCATGGGCAAAAGGAAAAAAAGTGGCCCGCGGAAGTGCTGCCGAATAGAGCGGGCACTGATCGAAAGCGTTGTAGAGCCCTTCCTCTGGGATAAGATGAACAAACTTCTTCAAGTCTGACAAGGTTCTTGGGGTAGATGTGATATCTTTTATTAGACCAACTAAATAGTTGGAAAAAAATGTTTGTGCAAGCTTTGGGGCACAAACACCCTTCTTTAGGAATAGGGCGAGGCTGCTGGTGAATTGTGCGCTCTCCTGGGTACGGTAGAAGCCAATATGCAAAATGCGGGTCTGTGAAAATGCGGGTCTGTGAAAATGTTAGGCTTCTTCAAGTCCAACACACAAGTTTTGGCCCACCTTGGGGGAGGCATTTGAGCAAAGAATCTCACTTTGTGGGTATGTGCACAGTTTGTTGGGTATACAGAGGGCTGGTTTCCTTTTCACATTTAGGGTCCTGCCACATGTTCAAATGAAAGCTGGAGAGAAACCAGCTAGAAAGTTGGTACACATTTTCAAGCGCTAACATTGCAGTTGGTTGGGTCTTTTTATAGTTGGAGAGTCATTTTTATGGTGTGATAATGATTTGCATGTGTGGCTGGCCTGAATGTATCGCGCAACTCGCTAGTTAAGTGCGTGATGTATGTAATGTGCAGCAGGGGCCTTCGTGTCAGCAGGGATTAATGGCCACGCCTTGTAGCTTATCAAACTGATAAGACCGGTCAAAGGAAGTGCTACCGGTCAAAGAAAAAATTCATACCCATCCCCTACCCCCAAAGGCCAGCGTTGTGCCGTTTGCCTGCTCTTAGAAGGTGACATGTGAGCCAGGCTCTTGCTGCTTGAAAGGTTTGGTGGGTCTCTGAGTCCGCACACCTCCCGGGACAGCACTGCCCCTCGCTCGGGGCACAGCCCAAGGGTGCAGCCGCCGGGCTCAGCTATAAAGCAGGACGACGATTGATCTGATTTTAATAGGAACAGTGACATGCGTGAGCAGTCCAGCTGGGGGGTATCAGCAAGCACAGATTTGTGGGCAGGGAGTAAACAGCAATATCGAAAAACACATTCTCTTTGCCCATAAACTTTTCAATTTTGGGAAGACCAAATTTAATAAAATTATCTTCCAAGCGGAGTTTTTATCGGATGTGGCCCATAAAAGCTCCCGTTACAGGGTTTACAGCTGCCATTCACAGAAATCCTACTGTCGTAAAGCACAGCGGTGGGGTTTACAGCCTCGCTGCCACTGCCAAGGCACGTAAACCTTGGTTTCAATACATCCTCTTCAAGTGAGTGTCCTGTTTGCTGGTCTTGATGGAGCTAATGGCAGGGAGGGACAAGTCTCCAGCAGGCAAGATTCAGGGCCAGGTTTGAGTCCAGCACTAAAGAGGGCAGCTCTGAGGAGCAGGAGAGTATCTTGAACCCTCCTGCATAGTAATAACGTCAGTGATGGGGCTGCGGGCACAACACACTGCTGGCATAAATGCATGCAAACCTTCACGATGATGCACCTTCAACTTGTGCATTTTCTTGTCTTACCTCGGCGCACTATGCCCTAGCCGACAGGGAAGAGGAGACACTGCTGGGTATTTACGGCATGGCCGTCTTATTCTGCACCTCTTCAACTCCTGTTTTATTTATTGCGACCTATTCATCGGTGTGGCTCCCTGCACAGCTGCAAGAGAGTTGCGTATGCAGCTCTGTTAATTAGGCCAGGAGCAGGTCAGCACTGATACTTCCCACTCTGCCCGCATATATTGTTTCCTGCCTTTGCCGCACACATTGAGATGCAATGATTAAGACCAAGTTTTGGCGCCGTTCTGCGTGTTGATTCATTCCATGGGCGGAAATGCCCGTATTTGCAGAAGCAACAATTGAATTTCATCTAGTATCGAGGTGCGCTGAGTTGCGTTATAGTAGGTATAGCAATGGTTTCCAGGTATATATTTAACAAGACTATTTACAGCAAACCATACCTTCCCTTTTACCTGCTCACCTGTTCAGTATAAAAAAAATGGGGTTTAATGAACGGTTTATTATTCCTTGACCATCGCTGCTGTTCGTTGTTTAAAACGTGCTGGCCTCATGAGGTCCAAACCAACACCCCATTGTGTGACGTGCAAGGACCAAACCCCAAAACGCTGGCCATCTCGGGTCACAGCACAATGTGGGGAAGGAGAAGGGGACGGGCAACAGAAGGAGAAGAGAGGAGAGTGGGAGTGAGTAAGTCAGCGCTGTGGTGTAAACAGGCCTCATGATTCATTGCTGGCTGGGCAGGTTCTGGAGGCATCATGAGAGATGGAAGTGAAGTCTCAATAATGTTTAACAACGTTTTAAAAATGAACCGTTCTCTGTGGGGTTTGCACAGACCCCATTCCTGTAGGAGCAGAAACCCTTTGAGTTTTGGGGGTGGGGGGTTGGCCCCTGGGAGGTATAGAAACACAGACCATGAGGGTGGGAAGGGACCTCAGGGGGTCCCATCTAGTCCAACCCCCTGCTCCAAGCAGGACCAGCCCCAACTACATCATCCCAGCCAAGGCTTTGTCTAGCCAGGTCTTAAACACCTCCAAGGATGGAGGTAGGAAGGTACAATGCTTCCTCTCTAATCACCTCCTCTTTTCATCCTTCCCAAAATGCTCTGCCTACTCGGTGTTAGTCTTAATTAGGTGCCAAGCTTCTTGAGCAAGGCTGTCTGCCGTGTACAGGACCAGCCAACAGAGAAATGAGTGCGAGGTACCACCCGCCGCGTGCAGCGGATGCGCGGGTTACGTGTGCCCTCTGGATGGACAGGAGACGGTAACATCCTGCCAGTTGCTCAGGCAGCTGGGATTGTCTGCCTAGTCTTGATGGGGATCTCCAAAATGGAGCTGGAGTCTAGCCAATGCTCCGGAAATGGCCAGGTCACTAACCTGGCAATCTCTTGATGTGATAACGTCCGTATACATTTCTAATTATAACACAGAGAGAGTTAGTGTAGACGTATATAATCTGTTGTGCAGACGGCAGGGTAATGAAACTCCCAGCCTGGCTGCAGCTGTGCTGTGAATCGCATTTCACCCCCCATCAATCGATGAAGTTCTGCAAAACCAGTTCCACTTTTTGCCTTTGTGCATTCAAAACTGATCCGAAAAGAAATGAGCATGACTGCATCCACTCCCCGCACATTTTCCTCTACTCCCCCTTGGAGGATCAAGATAAAATAAGCCTAAAATCTGAACGACAATCATTTTTGTCCGTGTCTAGACTGACTGACCGAATTTATTCTGTAGCTTGCTTTGCTTCCTTTTTGCTTGGGTATTGATTAATTGCATCTCCATATCTGCCGCAGATAACGATTGAAGAAAAATGAATAGTGTGCATCGTTATTCAAAGTTATGCGTTGCCCTATGCAAATCAGCGAAGGGCAAGGCGATTACATGTTTCACATGTTTTATAAAATTTAGCCACATTTCATTGCTCCATTGGCATCCCTCCCTTGGCTTCTTACAACATTATGCAATGATTTTACCTGCATTTAAGGGCCTCAAATAACTCTGGTTCCAGTCTTTCTTTGTGCATGCCTTGTTGTTCGCTAGGTCCTAAATTGGCTAGTACTAATTGGTAGCATTGAGAGCAGGGGAGTCTTCTAATTGTGTCTCCTCATTAGAGATGCTTCCTTATTTTCAGACTCATCAGCTTGCATTGGTGTCAAAAGACAGGTGGAAAAGAAACTATAGGGTGCTGCTCTTGACTGTTCTCAATGAGTGATGATGATGTGCGCTAAGAGTTTGCTGGTTAGCAAGCTGTGGCTTTAAGTGTGGAAGCTGCTTGCACAGATGCATTTGATTGTGTTGGAAGTAACACAAAACTGTTGTTTATTCCTGACAGCTTTTTGCCATCTTTGCATTCGCAACATGCGGTGGGTATTCTGGAGGACTGCGCCTCAGTGTGGACTGTGCAAACAAGACAGAGAGTGACCTCAACATTGACATAGCCTTTGCCTATCCTTTCAGGTAACTCCTTTTGATTCTTCATTCTTTTTGGGGATGCAACTTTTTGGGGGATGCAACTTAGGGGCCGGTCTGGTTCAAAGCAGTGGAAAGACTGCCATGGATTAAAAGGGGCCCTGGTTAAGGCCCCTGTTTGGGACAATAATGGTGCATCTTGAAAAGCACTTCGGTAACTCAGGTCTGACGTCTACCACAAAGTTTTAGCTGGCCATGTCAGGTCGGGCTGCACCAGTGCAGCACAGCTAGCAAAACTGCCAGTTTGGGCATAGCCCTGCTGATAGAAGAGGGCTTCTGAGGGCCATTCGGGGAGATAATGAAACTGCACCAGCAAAAAACCACCCCTCTCCTTCCAGCATAAACCCTGTCCAGACTGGGGGGCTTTGCTGACAGCAATAGCATCAGTAGTTCCACAATCTAGATGAGCCCTTTAAAAACAACCTGGCGTGTTCAAGAGAGACCTATGAGCCTAGGTCATGTTGCTGATTGATGGGACACAGACTCAAAACAGCCATATATTCAAAGACGGGCAGCTTCTGGTACAGAGACCTGACCTGTCTGATGAGATTTCCAAAGGCACTTAAAATTGCCAGACAAGGTTGTCTGGGTAAATGTGATATCTCTTATGAAACCAACTAAATAGTTGGAAAAATTGTTCTTTGCAAGCCTTCAGGCACCTAAAAAAGGGAGTTTGTGTCCAAAAACTTGCAAATAATTTTTCCAGCTATTTAGTTGGTCTAATAAGAGGGATCACATGTACACAGATAACCGTGTCTGCCAATGTCCTTAGACCAATACGACTACAACCAACACCCCTAATGCCAAGCATCTGACTCCCATTATCATAGCAACAGATCTGCAAGCAGGCAAGGAGATTGCAAGGTAATGCAGCCATGTAAAAGATGACCAGGAGCGGTATATTGAGCTGAGGCAGGAAATATGACTATCAGGTAGCAAGGAGGCCTCATCTGTGCACACTCAGGAACATTGCATTTGAAGTAAGAAAAGCCCCTGGCACAATCAGGAAGACCCTTATGCAAGAAGACTAGGAGACTTGTGCTGCTTTAGTCGAACACAGCAAAGGACAGGAGGGGACATGATTGCTCTCTATAACACAGCAATGGAGTAAGCACCAGGGAAGGAAAAAATGATTTAAGCTACTGGAGAGTGTTGGCACAAGAATAAAATGGGCTCTGAATCAATCAGGCTGAAAGGATGGAAATTAGAAAAGACTTTCGAACCCCGAAAGGACTGAGGTTCTGCAGCATCCTTCCAGCAGAGGAAAAGAGAGACCTGGATCTGTTTCCAACAGGTATTTTTTGCCATGGTGGCCTGTGGTTGCTAGATGCCAGGCTCAATAAGCCAAGAGGCCCTTTGCAATATTAGTATTAGTGAAACAGTGCTGACAATCCCATTTGGCTGATTTGCATTGTCAGGCACTTTTATACGCGTCTGGCCCTTAATCGCTTTTTAAATTGGGGCTTAGGCTCCTAAGTTGCCTGGGCTCTCTTAAAAAACAGAACAGAAGAGGTGTGTGTGGGGGAGGGAAACCATTAAAGCTGAAATTCCCCTTGCTGATATTGATTCCACCTCTATAAAACCTAAAGGACGAAGAATGTCCCTATCATTATTTTTACAATATAAATTGACTCGTCTATATTGCATTGCTATACGAGTGCATGATAAAAGAACAGAGAATGTGTATTGCAATCTCAAACCAAATATACCGGGACCCCGATACAACTGCAAATTATATACTGTTTCGCTTATAACCTCATTATGCATAGAGTACTACTAACGATGTTCACCACGACAGCCCTACTTGGCATGTAGCATTTTTTGAAACAATGGGAACTGCTGTCAATCCTTGATTGCAGAGATTTTCAGTTTGCATATATTATTCCACAGTCATATTTCGGTTTATTACAAATGTTTATTGTTTTATTACTGTTCTGCACCCCTTTCTTCTCTTTTTAGCATTCATGAGCTTGGTTCTAAAAATTGAGTTATATGTATTTGTAGCATGATTCACTTCCAAATAGGTCAGTCCACCAACATTCATGACAGAAACCTGATATTAAAGAACTTTTACCTTACATGGCTATAAAATATTATTTTATGGGAAAAGTTAATAAAACCGAGCTAAGTAGTCAGAACAGGTCTGTTGTCTCTATAAGAAGGACGTATAGCATGGCTTGTGGGAGAAAATGGCCAGATCTACTATGCATTCGATGTCGAAAAGAGCAATTTATTTGCAAATACCTTCTGCATATTTGTGTCTTTCTAACTACTTTGAGGTGCAACTCGAAAATAGGATCCCCACAGCAGCGCGGCGTTAATCCAGTGGAATTATGGAAATGCGAGATTTCCATGTCGAGTTCCCCGTTAGAAAGAAAATGTGATTTGACAAATTAGCATTTGGGGGCTCTTGAAGATAATCACTGTGTGGTACACATCAGGTGTCAGAAAAACATATACGCACAGTTGTATCCACCGAGCTTTGGACATCTGGCCCTTAGTTTCCATTGGAAATCAGTTGGCTTTAATTACGTTTTCCTTAAAGGTCCTTCCTTTGACTGCCGTTCACAAACAGTCCCTTTTCTTCTTCTCTTCTCCTTCACCCTCATCTTAAATGATGGGTTTGCTGCATTTTTTACAGCCTGACAAGATGGTGGATGCAACTCTTGTAATGGCAGCCAATCTGCCTTCCAAGATCTCTCTTGTTTTCACAACTCCTCCTGCCTGATTCTGCAATTAGACCCACACAAGCAAACCTTTGTGTTTCTGCCAAGCCCTGCTGGCTTTCAGAGGACTCGGCATGGACCCGAACATCTGCCCACGCAGCGCTGAGTCCATAATGCCAAACCTCACCGTGCCATACCCCCTCTAGAATACGTCAGCTTGGGAAGTAGGGTGAATTTCCCATTGATTATTTCCCTCCTGCCTCCACAGTTGAATAAGTTTGTATTCACCCAGCAGGGATATTCCCCCCCTTCCCCAAGTTGCCTTCTGAGTTCTGATTATTGGCTGACAACTGGAGGTGTGGGTGGGAGTTAGAAATAAGATGCTGCAAAGACTCAAACTATGCTTGTAGCTGTCATGGCTGTCAACAGTCGCATTGAAGCACTTGAATAAGGGAGTGCTGGATTTCAAAAATCCATGCCTTGCTACAGGACTTGAAATGATAGAAACCATGCAGGGGCGTGAGCCGCTGCTTGCCTCTCCATTGTTAGGGGCACCGTAGGATCTCCGTTCTTCTTTCTCACGAGTCACAGCTGCAGGGCCCGGACGATTCGGCTTTTATGGATAAATGTGAACAGCTTCCGACAAACAAACAACGCTGCACTGAACACCGGGATGAAGGCAGGCAAATGAGATTTGAATCTCGGTGCATCCTCTGGCCTGGCTTTCAATTGGAAAGAGGGGATTTCAAGGTGACCGATTTAAAAGGCTTTTTATGCAGCAGGTTTGGGACCCCGGGGCCCACACCCCGCCGGAAACTAAATGTCTCACTTGGCCTTTCTTCTTTGTGCCTTGAAACACATTCCCAACAGATAGCCAGAAAGGCATTAGCATGCCATATGAGCAGAACTACTGAGCACCCAGGCTGGTGGAGAGAGAGTATAAACTATGTGGGCATATCCCTTGAACAGGAGCATTGCCAACCCCAATTCAGACCCATGGTCCAGCTAGCCATGGCCTCTCCTGGCCCGTGCCAGAAAGTGCGGAGAAGGAGCAGCAAACTCTGCTCCTATGTCATTGCAGCAGTGCTTCCTGCGCCTCATTTGTTTGACTTGTGCCCTGAGGCACACGTGTGGACATCCTTTCAGCCAACCATGATGTATGGTGTCAAGAGAAAACTTATGGGTATGTAAGCAGAAGGTGGACTTTGAAAGACTGAGCAAACAATAAAGAAGGTGTGACTTAATATTATATATAATATTAACATGATAGAATTAGAGACTCATAGAAGATGAGGGTAATAGGGACCTTGGGAGGTCGCATCTAGTCCAACCCCTGCTCTAAGCAGGACCAGCCCCACCTACATCATCCCAGCCAAGGCTTGGTCTAGCCGGGTCTTAAAAACTTCCAAGGATGGGGAGTCCAACACCTCTCTGGGTAACCTCTTCCGGTGCTTTGCTGCCATCCCCATGAGAGTTTTTTCCTAATATCCAACCTCAACGTCCCGTGCTGCAAGTTGAGCCCATTGCTCCTTGTCCTGGCATCTGCCCCCAATGAGACCAGTCCAGCTCCATCCTCTTTGCAGCCCCCCTGCAGGGAGGTGAAGGCTGCTATTCAATCCCCACCTCAAGCCCCCAAATCCCTCAGCCTCTCCTCACCGGTCCTGTCCCCCAGCCCCCAAAGCATTTTCAGCTCCCTTCACTGGACTCTTTCCAACTTGTCCACATCCTTTCTGTAGTGGGGGCCAAAACTGGACACAGGACTCCAGATGTGGCCTCCCCGGTGCAGAATAGAGGGGAAGAATTGCTGCCCTTTATCTGCTGGCAGCGCTCCCGCCAAAGCAGCCCCGGATGTCGTTAGCCTTCTTTGTAATCATGGTCCCTGTAACTCCAGAGCAGATTTCCACCCTGCACTTAATCAATGCACTTGAAACAAGAAAGAGCACACTCCTGTCTCTTCCCCCTCTCTGTTGGAGATGACACTCTTTTGAAAGTATATATATTGTTTTAATTATAGCCCAAGATCCTTTTGCCTCTCACACTGAAGAGGCTGTAGAGACCTTGACGTCTTCCCTACATTCAGGCTAATTTTTGTCATCAGAAGAGAGCTCCAGACATAAAATGGCAAAGTGCTGCTCCATGCAGAGAAGCAGCCTTGGAGACGTGGAGGAAGACCGTGCATCCTGAAAGGGACTTTCTTCTCCCTTTGTTACTGATTCATGATCCTCATTAACAATAAATGAGTGTTATTTCTCCCATCAGGGAGGAGCATGACCTTTCAAACATGGTCACGCAGCCCTTGCGTGCAGCATGTCTGAGGTGCCT